GCTCGGTCCAGCCAGAGGCAGCAGTAGTTGGCGGCAAAATATCAACTTCCTTTCGAGAAGCCAATCGCTGATAGTCTACAATCAACCAGTTGCCATGATCAAACACAAGAATGAAAATATTATCAGTAGGTGTCACTATCCTGATAATGATTTAGTAAATAAATCACATATTGAAGATCTTTTGTATATAAATTTAAACATTGGAAATAATTATTATTATGTTGGTCAAGGACGGTCAAGTATGCCTATTAAAATCTTATTAGTCCTTGAAATCGGGTGACTTTGTGCCACCAGGCTAATCAGTGCAATGGACTTTTAAGCCGATCTAAATCCAGTATATTTTTAGACAGTTGGATTTTGCTGAAACTTTAGGCATTACTGAGAAAATTAATTTACTTTAAACAGCAACAAACCTGATTCAAAACAGCAGTTTCTAATTGCACCAATAACACCACCTCTTCTTACATTCGATTCCATGAATGAAGTGAATGCTAGAAGCCTTTGAATAATACACCTGTTAAGAAAAAACAATAAAATTCTACAGTATTGGAATAAGAACACACTATTACTATCACTATCATTATTATTACTATTATTAATTATTATATCAAATTGAAAGAATCATAATAATACAATAATGTGCCGCATAGCGACAGCGCTCATCTAACGTCTACTTGGCGGGTGCACTCTGTGGTGGAGTTGGTGGGATTCTAGTAAACCCTGTTAGTCCAAAATGTGTTCACATACACCGCCGAAATAGTGGAAGTGCACAGAGATTGGTATCAGGAACGGCTTCTCAAAAGAATGTTCGTTGGGATGCGTTATGAAAGTTGCACGGAGATGGCGCGTTGACGGTTTAAGTGTTCTTACAGATTAAAGATAGGAAGCTCCCATCATTCGTAGCTAGCAACAACTTATTGCAAGACAGAATATGCGTAAGCTACTGCATCCATTTACCTAGCGCAAGCTACAGGCTGCCAACATAGAGAGCTGCCACCTGCAACCAATTAACGGCAGGCAAAAACTGCCCCAACACATTGCACTCATTGCACTGGCAGCAGCCACGTGCAGTGGCATACGTTACATGTAAGCATACTGGACTACAAGAATGCCATATAAATTATACGATTTTTCGTAAGGAGCATAAACCTTTCTTTAAGCAAATTGCTTTTTGAAATTTCACCTGTGACATTGTAGCCTCATACACGCAGGCATGTATAGATTCCTACTAGCAAACCGCGGCAGTCAAATTCTTTCTAACAGACAGTCAACAAAATCATAGTTTAACCTCCTCTTGAGGGTCAAAAGGTTATCAGACAGCTTACTCTTCGCACCGTCAGTGGAAGCAGATTTCATGTTCGCTTTCAATTAAAGCCATAAAATGAATAGTCACCGCTGCCAACAAAAAAGTTTTTCAATCGCTCCTCAGACACTGTGCCTTCAGAAATGTCTAAAATCTGCGCGTTGTGCTCCATTGCCCACTTTGAGCCTGTAGACCTGCCAATTTTCGGCACGTGATGGGCTTATTCCTACCATTGATCGTATATCACCGACTATCACGCAGCCTAGGTCGCAGCCATTTTAGATTTCGTGCCGGGCAATTCTGACTTTCTCTCCTATACTTAAGTTAAGGAGTAATGTTCCCCCTTCCTTTGACACTCTTGACCTTTGACTTTTGCCCCCGCTTCGACATCGCCAACTCGTTTTGCGATGCCGCCCCCAACGGACCCGAATATCGTGTGACCCGTACGTCGACGCGGTTAAGATCTGTGCCGAACTGTTGAGGACGACCGGTTAGACGTACCGATCCGACGACGGACGATCAAGCGATTCTACAAGCTGATCTTGACTATGTCAGATGAGCTAATAATAAATATTCTAAATGTTATTTTTATTCTAATTAAACAACTCTGATGCAGGGTCTCCAACCCTGTGAACTCCAAATGCGGAATGTTTCTGGCGGTGATGAGTAACTAGTGATTCAGGAATTGATGGACAGGGGGGGGGGAGGGCGAAATGTACCTTGGCTGCCGCAGGCAGGCCCGCGTGCCGTAGGCATGCCAGTGCTAGGGGGGTGTGGGGGCATGACCCCCCAGAAAATTTTGAAATATTTAAGCCATTTTCCTGCAATCTGCGGCATACTGTGGGCCATATTCTCATGTCTGATGACACCATCTCAACCCCAGCCTCAACCCTACAAGTTAGGATTCAAAACACTTTTCATTCGGATTTCCTCCGTGCCCCACTTGAAAGTCTGTCTTGCATACCATGCAATAGCCATGATTAACACTGAGTTTTGACTTCACAAGTACAGGACACATTTGTGTATATTCGTTCCTGAATTTCTGTAAAAGTCGGGGTTTTTGGTTGGCAATGTGGCCATTCTCCCACGTGTTAATCTGTTTAGCAGACAACTACGCGACACCTTGCAGACAGGCCTGTCTGACTAGGCTGTTCATTTACCGTAGACATGCCAGATACAAAATGCATAGAAACACATTATAACAATGAGCGATGGTAGGGGGGGGGGTGCAAAGCTAAGGTAATGGCAGGGTGTCTGCCCATTTTGCCATTTTCCCACTTTGCCAGTTTCCCATTTCGCCAATATTTTATGTTGCTTCCACCCCCTGCACGAAATTAATCCTTCCATTCTTAAAAAAGAGTCATTTCTAGGTCGTTAGGGTTAGGGTTAGGGTAATTAGGGTTAAGGTTAGGGTTAGGGTTAGGGTTAGGGTGCCTGTACATGATCCATATGTTTTGATATGTACGATTTCGCCTTCTTTGTTCTTAATAAATTAGTTAACTCATATCTAAAGATTCGTTATAATTTATTCCTTACAGAGGCCTACTTTTACCCACCTCGAACAGGGACCGTGATTGGGGAGATAGGACGAAATGGCGGAATGGGAAACTGGCGAAACGGGAAATGGCGAAATGGCAAATGGCGAAGTGGAAATTTTTAATGGCGAAATGGCAAATGGCCAAGTGGGAAATGGCAAAATGGGAATAAACCAGTTTATTAATAGCCCTCACTGCCCAAGTCGTTTCCTGGAAATACACACTCATAGTGCTCTCTGCCATTGGTTTATTCCCACTTCGCCATTTGCCATTTCGCCATTAAAAATTCTTACTTCGCCATTTCCCCGTTTCGCCATTTTCCCATTTCGCCAGTTTCCCACTTCGCTAGTTTCCCATTCCGCCATTTCGTCCTATCTCCCCGACCACCCCCTTGTTCGAGGTGGGTTAAAAGAAGGCCTCTGTAATGAATAAATTATAACGAATCTTTAGATCTATATGGAGTCAACTATTTATTTGAAGAACAAGAAGGCGAAATCGTACATATCAAAACATATGGATCATTGTACAGGCACCCTAACCTAACCCTAACCCTACACGACCTAGAAATGACTCTTTTTTAAGAATGGAAGGATAAATTTCGTGCAGGGGGTGGAAGCAACATAAAATATTGGCGAAATGGGAAACTGGCAAAGTGGGAAACTGGCAAAGTGGGAAAATGGCGAAATGGCAAAATGGCAAAATGGGAAACTGGCGAAATGGGTAATGGCGAAATGGCAAATGGGCAAAATGGGCAGACACCGCGCGCGTGGCCAGTGCTCAGGCACCAGCTGAAAAAAAACAATGTGTCCAAGCGAACAATGCGAACAATCAGTGCAAATTTTGCACAGTGCAACTGAAATGAGGAATATATAACCTTGCCGCTGCGGAATGCGGAAATTAAGCCTAGAAATCTTAATGATTCCGCAGAATGAGGAATGGTTGGAGACCCTGCTGATGATATCTATAAATACTATGTGAAGATGACATACATTATAGATAACATAAATTACCTCTCCTTATCACTTTTCAAGATGTATTGTCGAACTTCTACAAGCTGAGTCAGGTTAGAGAACACTGGACCAAGATAATGCATGTTGCCACTTGCATTGTAACCCACATGACAGAAGATGTCCACAAGCATGTCAATCGTCACCACAGATTTTTTAATCGCCTCTAACGCCTTCACACAGCACCGCTCTGATCGAGTGACGTTTGACAGTATCATGCACACCAAGTCGACATGTGAACTGTCCTTGTCTGCAACATATTTGAGCCAGGCAGGCAAGATATTTCTCTCTTCAATGTTCAGTATTTTCCAGGAGCACTCTTCTTCCGCAGACAGGTTAAGAAATGCCAAAAGAGCATCCTTTGTGATAACGGGTAGCGGATCACTGGTCAGGTCAAAAAGAGCAATGAGGATCTTCTCACTGCTTCTCATGAAGATCCTGCCTTCAGGAGTTCCAGTTAGTCCGAGGAAGTACTGCAGTGCAGTGACCTTTACATCAACCCTCGCTGTGGGTACGAGGAATTGAAGCACCTCATCTGCTACAGCTGCTAGCTCTGCTGCCGCCATGACACTGCAAATCAAACGATGTGTGAAGGAAATGATTGAAGAGTGCAGACGCCGGTTTGTGTGCAATGGTTGCATGTGCAAATTTCCAAGTTTGTCACCATTTAACAAGCAATCCTATAGTGCCGATGAATGTTAATTTTGTATATATGTTTATTGTAAATAGGATAATCACACAGATTATTGTATATTATTAAAAAGTGTATGAGTTCTGCATAGACCTCTAGCACATGCTTTTAAATGTACGTCTTGGAACTTCCATTGCAAGTGCATGGTAGCCAGTGATTTGAGCAACGTGTAGGTCATTACTACTAGGTTTATTCAGGACTCAGCAGTTTTGCAGAGCTATGCCTGCCACAAGTTACAACTGTAAATACTAATCAAAACTAAAGCTGAACACTGCGAAAAATATTAACAACAAGAGCCGCAGAGCATCTGGGCTCATCTGAGGTCTGTTGCTACGGTTATAAACGTAACATTTACGTCGTGCGTAGTGACACCTTTGTTAGGCGCAGATATGATTGCGTACATATCATTTCAGCCAACCTCTGCATTCTGCATACCCTCCCAAATCCATTGGTTCAATACAATAACCTGTTTATGGTGGGCATTGTGACGCCTAAGCCCTAACCCTAACCCTATTAAACAAAAACAAAATTTAATTGTTGTAAAATATTTTGTTGTTATTAAATTGTTGTAAATAAATCATGTAAATATTTGCGTTATTGGGAAAAAAAATAGTAAATGGATAAAGATATAGAAAAAACAGAAAACAGGTAAATAATAAAAAATCTGATGGTGATTCGATCCAACGACCTTTGAGCCATGACGCCTGTGCTGTAGGCGTTCGGCTATCCAGGCTTATTGGCTTCTAGATTTATGGATGTGCCATGAAGTATGAAGACACTGTTGAGCATCCATTGAGCAGTTCAGGAAATCCACTGTTTAACCCTCCCTCTGAGGGGTCAATATGTTATCAGACACTGCTGCTCGCACGTCCAGTGAAAGCTACATTCAATGCTCTTTCATAAAGTGATAAAAATGGTAGGTCAGCGCTGAAACCAAAAAGTGTTCACTGTGTCCGATTTTTCCGTTAGACCTATGTCCTCTCAGAAAATGTCTGATATCTGACCTTTCCCCCAGCTGGCCCTTTGACCTGTGACCTCCCATTCCCACTGTGATAGGTTTTCGGCTGCACTCACATACCTATATCACTGAATATTAAGAGGCATAGGTCGAGCCGTTACAAGATTTGTGGCCGGGCACAATATTCCCGTATTTCCTCCTATACCTTAAGTTAAGGGGGCAATTTCCCCTCCGTCTACACACATCTTGCCCTTTGACCCTTGACCCGCCAAAATTTGTCAATCCTGAAGTACCCTTTTTACGATCCCCCCCCCCCCCCCCGCCCGACGTCCAAAAATTATCGTGACCGTACGTCGAGCGGTTAAGATTTGTGCGCACCTGTTTGAAGCAACGCACGGCAGCGAATGAACGGACGGAGGACGCACGGACAATCATGCGATTCTACAAGCTTGCATCTGACGTTCGTCAGATGAGCTAATAATTACATTATATAAATTAATCAACTTCAAGTTCGACTATTTACGATAACGACTATGACTATGAGCAGAGCCAGACGTCAGATTCGCATGCCATAAGTCGTGCTCACACACTAACAGTCTAATGTACACGGTACACCGTACAGTGTACAAAGTGACAGTGTAGTGTACTGACCTACTAGTACTACGGCCAAATCCTATTTGCCCACGTACATGCACCACATACATGCACTATACATGCACCACGAACCATATATACCATTATATACCGACTATGATGCACGATAGACACCGGTGCATGGCTTTCGACAGAGCTATGAAGCAATCGATCCTACAAGTCTGGCGTAATATGTAACTAGAAGATGAAAGGCAGAAGTACACAAAAGCAAGGCACGATATGGGGGTGTAAAACGCTACTCTGAGCGATGTTATTAAGGAAAGGAGAACCAGGTGTGGGTGCGAAATAGTCGCCATCAACGCTAGATGGCAGTAGCGATCAGTGTGAGTGCAATGGCCGAATTTTGACGTTAAATTTGGCATGTTCATAGTGCGTTTGCGGAAAATGCCCAAGGGTTCAGGTTATTGACAGCGGAGACGAAGTTATAGACCCTTCTTAATTATTATTCATTACCTGGGGTCAACAGGAAACGAGGCCTAAGCTAGGGCAATTTTGTAAACCAATGGCTGCTTCCAGGCAGGCACGCACAGAGGGATACACGCACGTACACAAGGCGGGTACATCGCACGTACCGCAGATACACGCACGTACACCGGCAGATACACGCACGTACCCGTACATCGATAGATACACGCGGTACACGGAGAATACACCAGCAGTACACGGCAGTGTACAACGCAGATACCGCACGTACACGCAGATACACGCACGTACACGTACACGAAGATACAGTCAGCACGTACCACGCGGGTACCATCGGAGATACACGCACGTACACAGCGGGTACCTACGTAGCACGCAGGTTACACAACGGCACGTACACGCAGATACACGCACGTACACGTACAGCGCCAGATAGCGTGCGTGTACATCGTGGGTAGCACGAAGATACACGCACGTACACGCATCGTACACGCGGGTCACGGAGATACACGCACGTACACCGCGGGTAACACACACACACACGGGCAGGTAAGCAGCGTACACTGCAGATACACGCACGTACACCGCGGGTACACGCACGTGCCACGTGGTAGCATGCACCGTACACGCGGGTACACCGACGTACATCCGCGGGTTACACGCACATGCGACGCGCGGGTGTACGACGCAGGATACAGCGCACTACACGCGAGTACAAACGCACGTACACGCGGATTACACGGACGGTGCAGCGGGGGGTAACCGCACGTACACACGGGTAAACGCGACGTAGCACAAGCAGGTACACGGCACGTGCATGCAATACATGTGCGTGTACGTGCGTGTATCTGCGTGTGCCAGGCGTGACGCTCGCGTGTACGTGCGTGTACCGTGCGTGTACGAGCGTGTACGTGCGTGTACCCGCGTGTACGTGCGTGTTATCTCCGTGTTCCGGCGTGTCGTGCGTGAATCTGGCGTGTACGTGTATCTGCGTGTACTCGCGCGTGCACAGTGCGTGTACGTGCGTGTATCTTGCGTGTAGCGTGCGTGTACCCGCGTTACGTGCGTGTCTCTTCCGTGTACCCGCGTGTACGTGCGTGTATCTGCACGTACGTGTACGGCGTGTACGTGCATGTATCGCGTGTAACGTGCGTGAGCCGACGGGCCCGCGGTGTACGTGGCGTGGTACGTGCGTGTACTGCGTTATGGTGCGTGTACGCCGCGGTGTACGTGCGTGTATCTCCGGTACCGGCGCGTGTAACGTGGCGTGTATCTCGTATGCGTGTATCTGCGTGATATGTGCGTGTACCCGAGTGTACGTGTGTGTACGTGCGTGTAGCCATGCGTGTACGTGGCGTTTGTACCTGCGTGTCATGTGCGTGTACGCCGGCGTGTAGCGTGGCGTGTAATCTGGCTGTGTATCGCCGCGTGTACGTGCGTGTACTCGGTCGTGTACGTGTACGTGCGTATACGTGGCGTGTTCTGCGTGTAACGCGCGTGTACGTGCGTGTACGGCCGCGTGTACGTGGCGTGTACCCGCGTGTACGTGCGCGTGCACCTTCGTTGTACCCGCGTGTACGTGCGTGTATCTTCCGTGTACACGCGTGTAGCGTGCTTGTATCTGCGTTAGCGGAAGAGTTTGACGATGAGGACATGGACAGCTTGCCTGTTGAACTGCAGTATTTACCTGAAGACAAGCAGCGAGAACCGGACGATGATGTGCGCAAGATGATTCTTGAAGCTCTCACGCAGGTTGGCATAACGTAACATAATTAATGTTTGAAGTTTAAGAAAGTATGTTGACATCTAGAAAAAATCATGTATCGTCGTTGACGCGGATAGAATGAACGGTCGGGTTGGCACTTTTTACTGCGGCTGTCGTCCGTCATCCAAACACTTGTGGCATTAATTTACCTACAGCCTACAGTTTTGATTTTCACTGTACTATTTTGTTCACGTAAACAAATATTGGTGCTGGCAGGCAGTATATCGCGTATTTTCTCATAGCTGTGTGCAACGAAACCAGGAAGGGAGTACATGAAGAGCAAGAACACGTACGTCGTACTACGTGCGCTGGACGGCTGGGAGAAATCACCTTCTGTTCGACACGTCCTTGAGAATCTCATCCAGATATTCATTGGTAGGTTAATACTGTGCCTATCAGTGCAAATTATTATTATTATTTTTTATGTATTAAATGTACTATTTTAAATATGGTGAAACCTAATGCAGCAAGAGTTATTCGATGAGTTTTTTAGACATTTTTTGAAAATTTTGAATTTTTTTGCCCTACAGGTGGCATCACTTTGTTAATATTTTGTAACTTTAGGGGACGATCCTGAACCAGATATGGAGAATCTTCATAAAGTAGAAATACCTGACGATGTAAAGGAGAAATTGAAGACTTGGGATGAGGAGGATAATAAACGTATAGCTGAAGAAGAGACAGAGTATAACTCGGTAAATCAGCAGTTATGAGAATGGTATGTTTGTAACTGAGCCAGAAGGAAATCTTGTTGTTGAATCCATTGAGTATGGCAACTTGTCAACATGAATAGATGTCATGTATGAGTGCAAGCTTCAAAAGTTTGTTTATGAGAGTGTAGATCATATGTGACATCTGTATTACATTTTTAAGAAATGACATCTACAATGTAAATATAGGACGTCTTGCATTTTATAAATTAATCAAGTTCACATATGCTAATTAGCCACGCTATAAATCTAATAATGTTTCAGTTTGCAATTTATAAATATTGATGAATTTAATTAATCATTTAACATACAAGCAATATGGCAACACCAGTTCCAACATGGAAATGCATAGATATTTTGGTGGATATATCTCCTGTGTCATATGCAAAGAACATGATCTCTATAGATTACAAGAATTGTTTTTGGCTTCTTCGCGAATAGAACTTGTTCTTCCTGCATGGACTATGCTTGCTATTGGCCGTCATGAAAGTCCTGAACTATCGAGTAACGGTGTCGGTGATGTGACAGCATGCAGTTGTGTGTCATAAGAGCCATTGACTTTCAGATGCATTTTACATAGCAAACCTTCCCACACTTATGCTGCTCCAGAATGATTTACTGCAGTATGTGCACTTCTCAGTTCTCAATTGAAAATGTTTATATTAAAATTGAACTACTCTGACTTTGCAATATATAACTCCATCCTCATAATTCATCTATTCGTTCGGTAGAGTTTAAATTCTGTTAGTTCCTTCCCCTATTAACGACTGACTACCACCACCATTGATGAGATGGTTTCTTCAGAGTCTAACATCAGTACTGTGGCTCAGCTGACAGGAGTGAGGGCTTACACTGTCTGTGCTAGCAGTTACGCGCTCACCCTCATCAAACGACCTGCATCTTCGTCCAGCGCAAAACATATTTGCATTGCTTTCACTACACGGCGAGCCTGCCGGATAGTAGAGGCCACCAGGGGAGACGTCAAGGCGGCTTTTCGTCTTGCTGAGACACGTGACCACGCACGGCTGCCAGTCGTCATCGGCTGTGCAAAATGAAGTCACCGATAAAATGCTATGATTATGTGTTATTATGAGGAAAATATTCGCCATGATATGTATAAGCAGAGTGAGTGCAACCTGTGGCTAAGAACAGTTTTTAAATTGTCCCAGCTTATGTTATAGTTATACCCTAAACCATAGATACAATAAATATAATGTAACCCAACACAAGAGTTTGGTGTCTTCTCTTGTGTTGGGTTACATTATTGTATCTACCTAACCCCTAACCCGACCAGGCTGTGTGACTAACGTCAATACACCATAGGGTCATAACGTCATAGGGTATTCTAACCCTAGCAATACCGTTTCTTGGAGCTACCTAACCCCCAGCTAATCCGGCCAACTCCCAGCTTACCCCAGATCAATCGGTAAACGAAATAAACTCATGCAGATATGGCAATACCGACAAATTCTTATTGGCGTATATGAACGCAACACGTTCTTTGAAATACGCGTGACATTTTTTGTCACCTGTTTCTGGCTGTATCTGGAAGCCTTTTCCCGTCAGATGCTGGAACTGTGGAAGTTGTGATAGGCTGCCACAGGTGGCGCTGGCGTACTGGCCCGGTGAGATGAGCACCTGTGTGTCGAGGTCACCGCTACAAACCTGCAGAAAGAAGTGAGTTAGAGAGAAAACCACAAATATATCCATACTGTATAGTACAGATATGTTCATAATAAAACCTGTGCCGGTAATGTTATATATATATATATATATATATTATAAATCTCCTCCTAAGTTCAGGAACAGACTCTTCAGTCGTTCACGAACTATGTATACCGACCGGAATCGCTTTTCTGATACGGGTCGCATCGCAAAGCTCGAACGATATGTCATCGCCAACGCATATCTTTCCACCATTAAGGGGTCTGTAAAATGAAGCATGCGCTAATATAAGAGTTACACCGTAGTTTATATGTACGTGTCGTCTGTGTATAACTAATATAATATTATGCTAGAATAATAATTTATAGAAAGAATAATAGTGCATGCCGGCGGTCGTGCGTGCGTACGTATATATATAATTGTACTTTTAAGTACTGCGTCGCGAGTACAAAAAAATGAAGAAATTGAAGAGATTGAAGAGAGTTGAAGCATAATGATATATATTGATATATTGATAATCGATGAGAATTGAGTGATTAGTTACGGCGGGTTGTTGCAGAATCTGCGCGTGATCTTCATGTTGCTGTACGAGGGACTGCAAGGTCCGGTGTTCGTGCAATAACTGACGCTCTGCCACTCTCCCCACGCACCGTCAACCCTCTCCTGCGGGGAGAGCATACATCGGCTAGCATTAGCAGTAACGCGCCGAGCTCTCGCGTTAAACCAATCATATACGTTTCGAATAATTCATGAAATATGTTACCAGTGTCCAGCCGTGCAAAATGTGTTGCGGGACCTACAGGCTACTTCTTATCTCGCTCGCTCTCTCGCTCATTCTATCTCTCTCTCTCTGCGTGCGGGCGCGCGCTCAGGGTGTCGCTCGGATCAGCGGTGGGTGAGTCTCTCTCTTCCGCTCCGCCTCTCTCTCATCTCTTCTCTCTCATCTTCTCTCTTTCTCTCTCTCGTCATCTTTCTCGGTCTCTCATTCTCGTGCCTCTCTCCTTCTTCTCTCTTTCTCGGTCTCTGCTCTCTCTCTGTGTGTGTGGTGTGTGTGTGGTGTGTGTGTGTGTGGTATGTGTGTGTCGTGTGCGGTGGCGTGTCGTGCGTTGGCGTGCGCGTGCGTGCGTGCGTGTGTGTGTGACATCAACGCGCACGTCAGCGGCGACGCACGCACGCACAAGCGCGTAGCTGTGTGCGTGTGCCTATGTGTGTGTGTGTGCTGTGTGTGTGTGTGTGTTGTGTGTGTGTTGTGTGTGTGTGTGTTGTGCGCGCGCGATGTGGGTTTGTGTGTGTCTGTCTGTGCTGGTCTGTTTGGCTCTGTTTCTCATATCCTTTCTGTTCCCTTTGGGTCCCCCCCCTCCCCCCCCCCCCCCCCCCCCCCCCGCCTGCTTTTTTCCCCCATCTGTTCCCCCCTTTTCTTTTTGCCCTGCTCTCTCTGCTCTCTCTCTTGCTCTTTCTCATTCTACGGCGCTCTGCTCTTTCTCGCAGGAGTACTTTTCTCCTCTTTCCCTTCCTCTCTGCGCGCGCAGGATCGATTCGGTCTCTCTCTCTCTCTACGCTTTGCTTTTTCTCTCTCTCTCATCGTCATCGGATCTGCATCTCTCGTCTCTTTACTCATTCCTCG